GTGGTTCGGCAATGACCTCAGCCAGCTGAGGTCATTGTTTATATCCACATAATTTGTGGATATAAACACCATCTTCTGGTGCAGTATCAGCAGTGTCCTGAGGAATAACCTACGAGAAATAAGTGTTTTGTGTTAGTAAACTTTCACAGCTGTTTGCTTTTTGAGCTATTATGCCAATAGACAATTTTCAAAAGATTAATCCAAAATGAGAATAATATAAAGTACTACTATTACACAACAAAACTACAAAGACAGCAGATTTCTGTGGGTTTGTTAATTACCCTTACTGTAGATTATAAAATAAGTCTTTAATCACACAGACAGATATGTACCCTATAGGCTGTTTTCTTCAGTGGAGGTCCAGGTCCAATGATAGAACTACTTTTAACGTACTTCTCTTATGGATGTTTTTAACATGCCTACCTTACCGAAGACATTCGTGTGCATCTTCAAATTGTAGTGAGTTAGTTGCAAAATGAACCTTACAGTCAGAATTTACTTACTACATCTCACTGCAACATCAGGACTCATATGAATAAAATATGCATTTATAATTTATCTCTACCTGAAATTCGTATCCCAGCAGGTCAATAGGGATTCTGTGCTTCCTAGCATAGTTTTGCATTGCTCCAGTTAAGAAAGCTTAAGTATAATAGAATCCTGACAGCCAAAAAACTGTGGGCTTCCCTAATTCATACCAATCCTGGGAAGAGTAAAATGACATGTTCGAGAATCAGAAAGACAAATCCCATATTGTTTGACTATTTTCTACATAACTGTACTCAGAATATCTAAGCAAAGTGTATCACTCTTTTCCCAATGCTGCTTTAATGTAAAGGACAAATTATACAAAAAGGTAGATTAAATAATTGTTAGTACTGTCTCTTGTACATTACCTGTAAAAATTTCAGCCTTTCTAGAAAGTCTACAATATAGCTCCCTAATGGTTTTAGACTTGGGTACGAACATTTCACCCAATTCTCAGGAACTTTTCCAAGAAGTAGACTGCCACACAGAGCATCCAGTTCAGCATCCATAACAACCAGTCCTTTAATGGCTTTCTTCACATTAATTAGTGTAATACGAATAGTTCGGATTAAACTAGAATTAAAAAAAAATAAAATTTTCACATGTTTTGCATGATTTGTAAAACACAACATCCTCACTGGAAAAAAAATAAAAAGAAAAAAACAAATGGATTATGGAACCATCTACAGAACTCGTACAGCTGCTGTATAAGTGTGTAATTAGCCACATCTGTAAAGTCTTAGATTTGTGCGTTTGTGCCAATTTATTTAAGACGAGGAACAGTTTATTAAATTATTTTTTTATCTCTGATATACTCTGTATTGCTTGATAAGAGGATAATTTTGGAACTCTCAGTGTATACACCATATACTAGACGAAGGAAAAAATGTTAGACTACAAAAGAAGAGGTTGGTAGGGTCTGCAACAAAGGAAAACTTGGAGATCAAAGGCCAGAGATCACTACTGAAAGTCTGGGTGAAAATGAAGTGGGAGACATGAAGAGATAAATAGAAATGAATGAGGACAGGGAAGAATGAATGGAGGAAGAGGTAAAGATAAAGAAAATTAGGAAACAAAGTCAAAAGAGAAACTGAGATCCCAAACAGTAACATAAAAGTGATTACAGATTTGTAATCCTAGGAGAATAATTCTGAAAATAAGGTATAGGAAGAAAGGCATCAGGGATTGGGGGGGGGGGAAGAAAAAACTAGAACAGAAGCATATGAGACAAAGAAATAAGCAGAAATATTTCAAATATCAAGGGAAAGGTTTCATAAACTATACCTGTATTACAGTTGCTAACCTCTTTACCCTACAGTTCCGAAAGAAGAAAACAAAATATAATTGAAGATAAAAATGGTGGAAGAGAAAGTGAAGTTAAAAAAAAAAAAAAAAGGAACATAAAATATTGTTCACATGTTGTATTTTCCTCTTTCAGCTCATTTTTCCACTAGATCATTTTTCCCTGGACTTCACACAAGGAATAATGGTGCTTGGGCTGCAGGTATCACAGCAGACAATTAGAAGGGTACAGAATAAAGAAAAAAAATATTTCACACAACATAAGGTTTGTAGTGTATGGTTCACAGGAAAACTTTCTGCAAATGGAATTATTTCCGTTACATTTAATAAAATATAACACTCTTACTTGTTAAATCTTTCCATTTCTTGCATCAACACAGTGTTCATACTTTCTTCATATCTTACAGGTTATTTGTTTAGGCAGCTTTCAATGTCAAAATCATTTGGAAGCTGTAAATGACAATATATTTGGAAATTATTCCATATATCATTATGCATCAGTATTATATTACAATTACGTAGGTGTGAAAAACTGCAGAGAAATAGATACCATTAAACTTTCTGATGAGTATCTTATGAATATGGTATTTAGTAGCTGAGGCCAAATAAAAATTATGGGTTTTTAAAAAAAAAAAAACCACCTAGAATTTTTCATACCATGAAAAGTTATTAATACCTTTGAATTTTATTAATTTTATTAATTCTTTTCTATTAATTTTATTAATTCTTCCAAGTTGTTTGCACTGTTTCGTCTCTCTGTCTCCTGTCTCCTACCTATTTATTACTTTCATATTGCACTCAAATTCTCCCAGGAGGTTTTTCCTCCAACACAAAATCAATGTAACACTGCAGATTCTAGTTAAATAATTTCTGCTTTGTAAAAAGATAAATTGAAGTCCTTGGTATAATACAATACCTTGCTGAGAATATCATCTGCAATTTCACAGAGAGTGCTGTCACCACCTTCAGAAGTTCCCTGAATGCCTCCTCCTTGTGTTAAAAGCAGAGATTCAAGGAGGATCTTATTTTGCTGAAGATCTTTTGAAATATCCACATTTTCATGCAAACCAAATACCTCTGGATGCTGACTAAAGGGAAGACTCTGTGACAAAATAAACATCTGCATGAGACAAAGCAGCATGGTAGGAATTAGATCTAAGTCTTCTTTAAGAAGCCAAGTGAAAAACTACCACTGACTTCAATTGAAGGTGGCTAAGGACCTTAATGGTAGGTATTGGTAATATGGCAGATGGTATTACTGGTGAGAGAGCCCTCACCTCACTTGTAGAAAGACATTTCCAAGGAATTCTCCATTATCTGTGCCAGGTCCTCCTAGCTACTTACTGATTCCCTCTCCCTCTCTGAAACATTCTAGATCATGGCAAGGATCATACAAGGATGTCAGGTAAGAAACCAAGCACGCAGTTTAAAGTGCTGTAAACCTGGTTTTTTAATGCAAAGAAGCCTTTAAAGATCGCTTTCCTAGTACATGATCATTATAACAGTTCAAAATCTTGTTGTTACTTTTTACCTTAATAAACTCAATGTAGTCTTCATATGTGCCTTTTGGTGGAGCATAATATTTGTCACTGGGAGAAAAAGTGTAACGAGGATTTTCTATTATATCTGGATTATAGAAGTCATCCAGCATTGTCAGCAGTAAACGTCTGTCTCAGTCATCTGTCACTCGACCTCCATAGTTGCACTCACCAGTTAGGTAAGATAAAGCTTCAAATGGAACACGGCTATATTCATTTATGAATAACTGAAACAGAAGACATGAGTAATCCTAGAGACTTGGAATATCTGCAGGACAACAGTGTGACCTACAGACTAAAGTGTCAGAAGTGATAGTGCACGCAAAACTACAGTTTCTGGAGATTTCTCCCTAAGTGTTAGAAATTCAAATTCTGAAATATTTTTTTCAGGTAAAATTACTGTTTAAAATAAAGAGGATTTAGTAGTAAAAGCCTCTTATGAATATCCAAATGAGTAAGTCATTCTTTAATTATTTGTATGTGGATAGTTTCTTGAGTCTAAACTTTCTAGAGGGACACTTTTCTGTATCATAAAGAAACATGCATTTCATGCAATTTTTCTTCCAATCTTCAGAACCCTCTGATCTCTTTCATTAACTTCTTGATAAGTTTCCCAACTACTCAGTCTCAGCTTCTGTAATTAACAGTTAACAATTAACAGAGGGCCTGCAGAAGACTCAAGGCCAAGCAGTGTTCAGCATTTCATTTTCGGGAAGGAAAATAGCCTGAGGCACTGTTTAACTAGTAGTATGTATGTAAAAAAAATAAAAACTTAAAAAAAACCTCCTACTAATCACAGAACCCACTATAACAGGTGACTGTCACTGACGTGGTGTTAAAAGTACAGTGAGCTCTTACTTATGACAATTTTAGCTACTATTATAATCATTACATTCCACATGCCTGTATGAATCTAAATCCCATGAAGAACAATTTTAAATTTTATTTAATTTTGAAAATATTTATAATATGTTTGAGATTCCTTGCCTTTGTAGCTGAAGTAATGAAAATCTATGAACATCTGATGTAATTAAGTGTACTACTCCTTTTGACTATCAGCTCATTCCTATGCTTTGCAAGATCAGAGTAAAAGGCAGTGATAAACGATTACCTGCAGCTGTCTGATACTGATTCGCAAGTCTGATTCATTAAATCCATAGGGTATATTCCAACCAAGAGGCCCAAATTTCCTTCTTTCCTGAACAAGAGCATGGAAAAAACAAACTCCAAAGAGCAGTTTCTCCCAAACCTTCAAGAAAAACAAAACAGAAAAATACTATTAACTAGCCTATATGCTCATGCTAGTCTGTAACTTATACAGGGGACACGTTATTTGATTACCAGTCTCCATCTAGGGCACAAATACAGGCAACTATTAAGTATGCTGTGGTTATCTGACTTGGGACCAAATACACACATAGTTACGACATATACAAGCACATTTAGCTAGCTCCTTGAGTACCATAACACTAAATTTTTCTCTTCTTCCATGTAAAGGGCATCTGACTTCATAAGAACTCAAATAGCACCAGATAATTATTTTTAAGGCTCATTAGACAAACATAAAATACAGATGTATTGTTTACTATAAGTCCTTAAATGCACCCACTTATATCTAGGAGTACTGATTACCATACTCCTGTCTCTGAGTAATCCCACTGTTTTTTCACTTCCTTCCCAGGTAATGACTATCTAA